ACTACAAAGAAAAAAAGCCTAAAGAAAAAAATCCAACAAGGAAACAAGAATAAATTTAGTTTGCCCTTGTTAGACCCACCCACATTGTCAGCCATGCTATGAGTGATCTGTTAAGTGAACAGCTTTCACTTAGAACTGCCCAAGCCATGACACCTCAGGGTGGCCAGAAAAAAAAAAAAGAACTTCCCTTGGCAACTAAGTCAAGTACTTTTCTTTGACAGCCGCTAAAAACCACAACTACAATTGAAACTGGATGGGATTAAACCACTTGGGAGCAACAGGAGGACTGGCTTTTCAGCCTGTCTCCCCTGATTATGCTGAAACACTGACCACGTGGGAGAGTTACCTGTATGAGATGCCCCCACGTTTTCTGTGACTGGAACAAAAATTAGGAACAGAAAAATTAGGAGTATATTAGCATCAGAAGAGTCTCCACATCTCCCTGTGAAACTTCAAGGGACCGAGAGACTGACAGTGCTCAAACGTGCCAAACCCCAGACCCTGTGCCCCTGGACACCAAGGGTTGAAGCTGTCACTTCGAACCCGGGGTGTTCCCAGAGAGGCGCCGGGAGCTGTGACCGTGAGGGCTGCCGGTCACCCAGGCGGCTGTCGGTGTCACCCAGGGGCCTGTCGGTCACCCCAGGGGCCGAGCCTCGCTGCGGTTCCTCGGGCACCGCGGCCTCCAAGCACCGGACTCTGGCGACCGCCCCGCTCGCCCTGACAGCGGCCCCGGGCCCCTTCGCAGGGGCGGCGGAGCGAGGCCCCTCTCCCGCCGCCGGGGCAGCCCACCTACCTCGGTGCGGCGGTACAGGGTGGCCTCGCCGAAGGCGCCGCGGCCCAGGGTGCGGATGGGGATGTAGTGGAGCTCCTCCTGCTCGCCGGGCAAGCCGCCGCCGCCGCCGCGGGAGCCGCCCCTGCCCGAGGACTCGCTGCCGAAGTCGGAGCTGATGGAGTCGCAGTGCCGCTCGTACTCGCCCAACGACATGGCGACGGCGGCCCCGCTCGGCCCGGCGCTCCCTCAGCGCGGCCCCTGCGGCCCCACGGGTTCCATGTCGGCTCACGACGACGACCCGGAACCGCTTCCCGCGGCCGCCGCGACCTCCGCGCTCCCGCCCCGCCGGGCCGGGCCCCCGCCCCGCCCGCAGGGGACCCGGAGCGCACGGAAGCGCGGCTGGAGGCGGCTTCAGTGCCCAAGGAGTCAGGTGTTCATAGTTATTTTCTTACAAAGCTTTTAGTAATAAAAAGCTGTCTGAAGTAACTGATTTATATCAAAAAAGTAATTACTGTTTCTTATTGTACAGATGATATTTTTTGTGTTTGCTTAACTGTGCTACACATAATATACATTACTGAAAAATAGTTGGCACAAGGGAGCACACACACACGGATAAACACCACGACTGTATCCCGTGGACAAAGCTCTACTGGAGAGGTGAGGGCACCTGCAGTGGGTACACATTTCACACCATTAATAAAATGCAGTGGTGTTCTTCTCCATGCCACTCACAGTTCATGGATTCTCTCTCTGACCAACAAATAAACAGAGAGCTTCATAAATATTTTAGCTTTGGAGCTGCAATAACTTCTCTGTCATAAAGAAGTATTAGCAACCTTAATCTTAGAAAAGTGATTTATTTTCTTCATAGATTATGCACACCATCATTTCAGTGTTCTGTTTTCAAAGTTCAGCAGTCACAACCATAGGCAGGAAAGCGAAGTTGAATGATGAACATTCACTTCAAGACAGATGATCAACACTTACAGGAGACATCAGGAGCTGAAGCACAAATCCCTAAAACCAGGCACGACAAGGCCCTGTTAGCTCTTATCTCACTACCGCAGGAAGATGCTCAGAGCATGAAACAAAACAAGCAGGGCTCCTTGCAATGTGGTGAGGAGCTGCTCAGCATTATACGCACCTATTTGTAAGCAAGTAACTTATACATCAACATTTATTTACTGTGCATTATAACTATTTCCATACAAAGATGATGTCCTTACAAGCAGCAAAGACAGCATGTCAGTTTTATAATAAAGGAGCTTGCAGGAATGGATGAAAAAAGGTCAGATGTGTTCTGCTAAGGAACATTCGCTCCCTCCATTTCAAGGAGAGTACGTGGCAAAACGTCATCTGGTAAAGAGTAGTAATTTAAAAAAAAAAACAAAACAGGTGACAAAATCTCATGAAAATGGGATTAAGGAATCTGGAACAGTTGTAGAAAATCAGAATACAATACTAATTGAAAAAGCCAATCTTTATTTTTCCTATTTGAACAATAGAGCTATCTTGTCCATTATTAACTACAGTACCATACAAATTCTTCTATAAAATGCTCACAGTAGTAGCTACAATCAGGTTTAGCTGCCCCACAGCATTGCCTTTACTATGCTTTAAAAAGAATTACAGGCAGTAATTCTCACAGCAAGATGCCCATAAGGGAAGTAGCAGCCACTGCCCATTCAGTTTTGCTGGAATATGACTGAAGAATATATACCCGACTTTACACTGTGTTTTTTACTCAAGCATTTAAAGAAATCAGACTGATGAGAGGCAATGTGCCATTCTGCCTCCTGCAAAATCAGTACTGAAGGATGAATTTAGGTAAGGGTAGGAAAACTGTCATTTAAACCAAATCATAGCAAGCATCTGCCTTACTCCAAAGATCTCCAAAGAAAGTATATTTGATGGAAATAAAAGCCCAAGCAGCTGGTATGGGTGAGAAAATGCTAGAGGGTAAAACCCTGCAGCAGATGAGACCAGAGCTGCCATGGGATATAGCTGGAAAACACAAGCACACCCTCCCCTCAGCTTGCCTCATCTACATGGCAGCTGCAGGAACAGCATCCACCAAATAACCAAGAAAAAACAAGTTAATATCATTACAATTTCAACAGAACATTTTGGTGCAGTTTATACAAAGATCACATAATGCAACTGATTTAAAAACTCAGGAGAAAGGTACCTTGAGAGTACCAGCTATGGAAGGAAATTAAGGGTGTGTCAGTGAGCTGTAAGTGCCAAAGCTAATGCACTGAGTTCAAGGTGATAAACCACATAGACCTCTGGCAACAGAAGGAGCATCAGGAATCTGTTACTACCATTTTGCAGAAAGTTTAAGTCACTTCAGCTGCAGGTGAAACAGAGCAACTCCTAGCTCCTGCCAGTGCAATAGACTTCCAGTGCAAAGCAAAACAGGCTTCCTACAAACACTGCTGGGCAAATACAAGTGTTTTAGTGCTGCAGCAAAAGCTTGGCCTCACCTGTTTCAGGTGTACAGAAAGGTCCAAGAAAAGCTAACAGGCAGTTTTTCTAAATGCTTTTCTCCTTCCACCCTCCTCAGAGAAAGGTGGCCTGCCAGACCCACCATACCACCACCACTGATGATTTGGGAGAGGAACAACAGAAAAAGCACAAGCCTGACAAATTTTTCACTTGAAGAAGGGGCAGCAGAAAAAAAACTATCAATGCTGAACTCCTGCAGTCTTCACCAGACCCAACTTTTTTTTCCCTCTGAAAGATTTCTCCATTTCAGGTTTGTGGTGTCTCTTTCCCAACAAGCCACCTTCAACATAAGGGAAGTTCATTTCCCAAAGACTTTGTTCACTAGAGGCATGGCCATCTCACGCATCTGAAAGACAAGTACAGCAAGAGGGACACAACTAAAGATATGAGAGAAATGTATCACATGAACTGGAGGGGGTAAAGAGGGCACACTTTCCCAAACCTCTGCCACAGGATCCTGTGAAATTACAGGCAGGAATCCCCTCATGATCTTAACAACCAGTTGCCAAACTAGGTTGAGTCAAATGTCTCTGATGTGCTACACAGATGTTGTTCACTTGGGTTACTTCTCACATACCTGAGCAGCTTGTAAAAAATGAGCAACAGTGTGTAAAATGCTCATTCCCTCACACATCCACACAAACAGCAGCTGCGGTGGGCACTCTGCGCAGGGTGCAGCCTACGCTGGCAGAGCAGGAGGGGGAATACACAAAGATATACCTTACTTAGGAATGCTCACGTGAGTACTGTGATATTTAAATCGTTAGTCACATTGACAAGTGGGTGGAAGAGGCTGGAACATCTGATGCAGTTTGCTACAGGCAACTATAGATCTACCAGTGATGCATCTGTCACACACAAAGATGGGCTCAGACCCAAGGATCTGCAACAGCTCAACTTTAGCCCATTTCCCAGAAGTGAAATGCAATGAAGACACCAGCTCTGTTTTACAGCATTACAGTGCTGTAAAACAGCCCAGACCCACTGCCAACCTACCGCATGAGAACAGCTGTACGATTTCATATACTCAAATATTCATCCAGGAAAGAACTTGCAGAGGCTAAACCTTATCCAGAGATCTGGGAATTTCCCTTCTTGAAATTCTCCCTGATAATACTAACTAGTTGTGTAGTATTTATGTGCTCCCAGTCCTGTTATGTGGCATATCTCGCTTGGCTACTGCATGACTAAAGCCTTGCAGGGTCAGCAGAGATCTGACAGCAGTTCAGTAAATACCTAACCACTCTCTTCAGTATCTGCCACTCACATAGGACCAACTCATCTTTGCAACAATTTAAAATTTCCTCTAAAGTACAAAATTGTAATGTACTTACATTTGTCTTAATAAACTAAAATTTATGTGGGAGCTGATGGTGAAAAACTGGATCTTGTACTCTAGAGCACCAGCCCTGTTTCACTATCAGCCTCAAAATTCCTCCATGCAGAGAGATACAATTAGGAAGGGGGGAGGGAGAAAGGCAAAAAATGGTAACCTGTAGTAGATCTCACTTACTGTGCTGGTCCCACTCCACAGAGAAGCCTGAGCATGCTTCTCAAGTCTAGAATTTTCAAATTCTTTAGAAACTAACCACTGCTACAGAAACCCAAAGGCTTGTGGGGAGTTTATGTACTTGCTGCTTCCTGCAATTGGTCAACTTGCAGGAAATAACAGTTTGTAGGAAGATGCACAAAGAGGACAAGATTCACAGCGACAAGGTGAGGTGGGTTGTTTTTCCCCAAAGCAATTTTATTTGAGAAAGTTGACAAAAATCCCCCAACCAGTCATCACAGGTAAATCCACGCCAGTTGCCCGCATCTGCTCCCCAGTAACCATGCCAGTACAGTAAAGAGCCAAACATAACACCAGAATGATGAAAGTGTAACAGACACCTGGGGAACTTAAGGCCTTGCCACCATTTTTAAGATACCTTTGCACTCACGTAAGGATGGGGAGAGGATATCAAAACAGACTGGAAAAAAGCCCCTTTCTCGTAATGTCTTTTCAAGTTATATAAAAACAAAAGCAAAAATTTAACAGATCTACAGGCTTCAAACGGTAGGACCTAAAACCACCTTCAAATGACTTCTGTAATTCAGTCCTGTGGCATCACAGCTGTTCTGCACCGTAACAGCTTTCAAAAATGTACAAGGATAAAATGGATCCATGGGCAGAGGAGTAGACTTAGGTTCCTAATATGGCTTTATCAAAAACCAAACAAATTAAAAGCAATCTAAGCACTTGCCAGTGGAACTAACAACTCCAGTAACTTGGCAATGGCAAAGAGGAGGCAAAGTACTGACGTATTTAGATGACGGGAGGTCAGCTTTACCTCCTCTTTCCCATTGCCTCACCCTGGACAACTGTTTCCTTCTTAGCAATAGATCAGACTCAGGTCAGAAATTATAAAACTGTGTTTTTTTGAAAATGCTAGGCTGGGTCCAGGGCCATGACAACCCCTTCCCTAGCCAGAAATATCTAGACACAGGACACCAGAATGCTGTGCTGCTGAACCACTTGCTTTGGAGGAATGCTTCTCTTGCAGAGAAGGTGCAAGAATTTTTATCATTGCCTAAAAACTGTAGCAGGTTAAGTCCAGGAAGTTAACCTGCCTGGTTTTATCCAGCCTGGTTTATTTAACATCATGCCATCTGGATGGCTGAGAAATGATGAGAAGCTGCTGGTTCTTGCTGTCTAGTACCACATAGGAGAATAACAGTTCTGTTGAGGGCACAGTTCAGACTCCCCCCAGAAGCAGAATTAGCCTATTCTTACCCTGTACTGTTTTTTTTAGTTCATCCACATTCTTTCAACTTCTCTGCTAACCTGCACAGCACTGTTGTACCCTCAGACCTCAATGCAGGGCACAGGCCCTCATGCTTCATGTGAACATCAGCTCACCTTGCTTTGAGGTCTCAGAAAATGACAATCAGCCTGGACTCAGCTGCCTGGACAGAAGAGAAGTCTCCTGCTCAATGTAAGACCAAGTTTCCTAGCACAACCTGCTCCCATTTGCTCTGTGACTGTATCTGAGGCCTCCTGTCTATACAAAAGGCTGTTCCTGACCAAGGCTTTCAAGAAAGATGCTGCATCATTTCAAAGCAAGAGAAGCACATCTAAGACAAACATGGGGCAAGGGTGGGACCAAGGCTGGACAGCTTATTTGAGCAAAGCAGGCTTCTTTCCAAGCTCAAACACATTCCCAAGCCCTCCTTCCAAGGCTCCCCTTCCTCCAGGCTCAATCACCATATGCTCAAGTGCCCTGACCTGTCAGTACAAAGACATCAGCTCCCACGGGGAGAAACACAGAAGTCCACAGCAGGGACCAAACCTTGGATGACTCTCTATCCTCAGGTCCTGGTGGAATGATGAATCCTATTGCTTTGCACTCATCTCCATTTGCAGGAGGCTTAGATCCCAGATGATCAGAACAGGGAATCCCCTGCTCTGCTCCAGTGCAAGCTGTGTGGCACCTAAAGAGCGCAGCAGGGTCAAGTGGCTCTGAGTAACACTGCAGTCACAGACAGATGGGAGACATCATCAAGCCATGATTATAAAAGGAGAACAGACAGCGCAAAAACTTGCTGCAGCTGTCATGGAAACATCTTTTTTTTATTTAATCGCTGTCCCAGGAATACCCAAACCCATCGCGACCTCCCCCACCCTCAACATTCAACAGGATTTCACAAGTCCCCAATTGTCTCCAATGTTTAGGCTCCCCTCCTCCTTTAGGGTCCAAGTTCCTCCAGAAAAGCTCCAGTCAGTGGGTATCATCTGTGAGATGGCTCCAGGGGGCCATGGCTAGGTCCCAGCGGTGTTCAGCTGGGTCTGAGAGGAGGGGGAGGAGGATTTGCTCCTTTACTCAATCAGCTTCTTGGCCTTGAAGAAGCGACGCAGGTAAAAAACCTGCCAGGTGGCCAGTCCGATGAGACAGCACATGGAGAAAATGCTGAAGTACAGAACCCGGGTGTTTGTCGACTCTGAAACGGATAACAAACCATTGCACGGGAGTCTGACATCACAGGATGTGCCCCAAGATGGCAAAGTTCCCCATGCAAAACTTCAAAGGCAAGATAGTATACAGCATGAAGGCAAGAGTACCCGAGAACCAGCAGTATTTGAGAATAAAGCAGAGGGAACAAGGAGAGGGATAACGAGAGAGAACAAGGTGAAGATGTGGCTAATGGGCAACATTAAATGGTACAGAGTAATTCACATTAGGAATTGAGACAGAAAGAAATGATTTCTGGAGACAGAACACACAAGACTCAGTGACTGCTTTGGGTTTCCCTTACTAGGAACAGGCAGAGACCACTGTAATTACTTGATCTCCAAGTACTGTCCTAATAACACATTTAGCAGAAATAAGGGGTCTTAGAGCTCCAGCCCTCTGAAGAGGCACACAGTCTCTCACCATTCGTGTCCCTCATTTCCTCTTCTCGCTTCTTCATATAGGCAAAGTCGTTAACAATGGACTCTGAAAGATCTTCCAAGCGCCTCAATTCTACTTCCAGAGGCTTCAACTTCTCCACTTTAGCAATCTAGAAAACAGAAGAGTCAAATCAGTGAGCCAAAACAGAAAAGCTCCCACATGGGTTTTTACTGCCAGTTTGAACCACTCCTCCCCACATACTACAGATCTGGGGCATCCTTCCCATCGGGAAATACCTCTACAAGCCAGAAACTACCATTGCATAAAACACTATCACTTCTCCCACCTGTTCTCTGAAACACACTTTCCTACTACCCCTCCTACACAACAGAGGAGCACAGCATGCACACAAGCACATTTCTTCCTTATTCGGCTTAATGTTAGCTTATTCACAGTTGGCTTCTGAGGAGTGGGTAGAAGAACTTGCCACATGACTAAACCTCCAGTGAATATAAGTCATGGACTGAGATACAGGTGACTAACTTACATACGCATACAATGCTGTTCCATAGGCACACGGGGTATTAGCACCGAGATTAGCTTTGCTAACTGTTGCCGCACATCCCAGAATGCCCGGGCAGCCCGATTCCCAGCAGCAACGTTTTGAGTACCGCACAAGAGCTCGGGGGTTTCACCCCTGGGCTGACCCCTCCAGGGCAGCACATGCCCTCGGCAGGGACACCGCGGGCAACAAGCGCTGCGTCCGCCTCGCGCCACCAGGTGGCGCTGCCGGGCCGCGGCCGGGCCCGCTCCCCTCGGGAACGGCCGCTTCCCTCACGAACGCCGCGGCGGGCAAGGACCCAGCTTCTGGGCAACACCTGGCCCACCGCCCAACAAGTCACACGCTTGGTGTCCGAAAAGAAAAATCCACAGAAAACTTCAGTTAGAAAGCACAGCCAACAGCAGCAACTATTTAAGTCGAATATGTAAACGTGTCCCTGCCCCAGTCCTGACTGTAACTGACACAGCAGTTATGTAAAACCTTGTGACACAAGGACACTCACAGGAAGCTAATTCCAATTCCTGCCACTGCTACAGTGTAGGATTTGGGTAACTCTCCATCTTGCACAGAATTTGTCACTTTTACCAAGACATGACGGGCTGCTGCAATAAGGCCAGATGCTGTGTCCCCAAGTAATGCAGCAGAGGAAAGATGTGCTACAGAAAACTGCACAGAACACACAGAGCACCTGCAGCTCACCACCAGCCTCACAGCCACGCAGGATTTCTCAGACATAAGCTGCAGGACGCCATCCCTCAGTGGTCCCTGCCGACAGGCAGGCAACTGGGCACCTAGCATGCAAGCATCCCCAAAACACCACTTCCAGAGGCAGCTGCCTGCACATCAGAGCCCAGCTGAAGAGATGCAGAGATGCTTGTGATCAGGCCAGTGCTAGCTAATCAGCCATTCCACTGAAGGATCTCCATGTGACACATATGCTTGCAAGCAGCAAGCCATCAAACAATCACCTGGGGATTTTTATGCTGAGGTGAACCGTATATTATAGCTCTGCCAGCACAGCAATTCGAAGTGCGTTTGTCAGGAGTGGTAGGAAGCAGTAGGTTGACCCCCTCCTGCCTTCTAGTCAATAGGCTGTAATGACAAAACCTGTGACCTGGACACATACCTGCTAGCAGAGCTTTGCTGAAAACCTGGCCCAGACTCTGCTAACACAGCTAGAGCAGCAGGTCTGTATCACACAGAAGGACTTGGGGAGCTCTACTGACAAGCTAGCCTTGCACTGACCAGCTCCATTATCCTCCTTGAGGGCTCACTTCCTCATTCACAGAAGCCTACAGAACCCTACAAGGGTTCCACTGGGAAAAACCATCCTGCATCCCTTCAGTTGCTCTTAGTAGGTGTAGCTACAAACATTCAATACCTACTTTTAGTCCTGCATGTGCTCCCAGACATATATCCTGAATCACAGAATCCCAGAATCAATTACACTGAAGAAGACCTCTGAGATCATGAAGTCCAACCTATGACCTAACACTGCCCTGTCAACTAGACCATGGCTCTAAGTGCCATTTCCAGTCTTTCCTTAAACACCTCCAGGGACAGTGACCACCACCTCCCTGGGCAGTCCTGGAGCCTCCTCCATCCCTAATGAAGTCAATATGCCAAGCTGCTCCAAGGGATTTTGTAAAAAGCCCACCAAGCACCTGTGATGGTGGAACAATATCATCCCAGAAGGAACATTCTACATCAGAGCTGAGACAACTCCCACAACTTCCTAGGGGTCATTCAAAGATCTGTGGAAGTCTAACGCCCTTCCTAGCATAAAAGAAGATACACTGTAGTCAAGAATTGACAAGGAGTAGCTGATGTGGAAAAGAACCTAGATCGCCAAGCATTCTTAGTGCCCTCACAAGTCTTTTCACTTTTCCTTACCTTAATTTCTACTTATTGAATGGATAAAGTTATTCCTCCCTAACCCGGAGAACTAAGGCATGACACTGCAGTTAGATTTTCTAACCCAGCTCACTATTCCAGCTGCTTTGCTCTAAGAACATCTGGATCTATGAAAGCTTATGAAGTCAGACTTGAACACCACCCCTCCTCTCACAGCATATATCCATGCACAAGCAGGACAGTATTAGTGACCCTTGTTCAACTCCCTTAATCAAGTCTCCTTGCAGCAATTCAGCAAGAAGAACTGGGCGGTAAGACGGGTCACTGGTACCCAACAGCAGATGAATGTCACAAGTAAAAGGCTCAAAAAGGCTGCAATTCTAGGAGAGAAACCTGAGCAACAGTCCTTCCCTCTGAGGCCTTATAGCAACCTATCAAGCCAAATACTACAGTAACCTGGCAAGAGAGAGCATGGAAGAAAACACACTGCAAAGCAGCGTAGTTAAACATCTATAGCAGCTGTGCAAACAGTAAATCAGTTTGAGTCCTTTGCATATATGCTGCTCAACACTGCCTGCCACTATGAGAAGTCCTCACAAGCCAAGGATGCTTGCCAGGGCTGCCAAGATCCGCATTTGGTATCAGGTGGGACTGCAAGTCTAAATTCTTCTCCCGTATTTGTCCACAGAACTTTTCCATCAATGTAACTACACTGATGAGCATAATGGATACATACCTTTATTCCAAGACAGTTTTATCAGTATAACCAGAGTGCATAGATACATGGGCATAAGAAAACCTTTCTGCATATGGGTCTTCTAAGTAACACTATAGTAATCAACTCTAGACTATACTGTGGAGTGGTATTTAAAGGGATTCTGTAAATGTAGCCAACATAATCCTCCCAGTTACGCTCCCAGGGATTCATCCCAGTTGCAATCCTTCAGTTGACAGACAGCTGGCCCAATGACTGCTGCACTCTTCCCTGAACCCAAGCATGTTTTTACTCTCCATGTAGGATGTGCTCCAGACTGACTTAAGGAATGATTGTTCTGCTCTTCCCTGACCCCAAGCACTTTCTTACTCTCCACATAGAGTGAGAGCACTTTCTTGCTCTCAACTGACTTAAGCAACAGAACACCAGATAGCATAAAGTTCAAAAGGATATAAAAACACCATGATAAACACTTCAGAAATCTGTTCATTTTCTGACTGGCACCATGCACAGCCTCCTCTGCTACCCACTCTCCTCCCTAAGGAATCTCCCATGCTCTTGTGCGCAGTAGACACAGCAATCATTTGTGGGAATCTTTCTCCAACAGCAATTCTCATTGTCTCAGGCACAGGCTCTGTACTGGGGGCTGACTGATCCCAAATTCTAGTGAGCCAAAAGCATGGTAGCTGCCATCAAAATTCAGCACCCACACCAGCCAGGACTGTCTCAGCCACAAAGCAACTGCTATTCTACACAGCTAGCTCTTGGGTCTAAGAAGCCTACGCCCTCCTAAGATGTAAATGTTTAGGCTTTATGCCTATTTGCAGTGTCACACCTTCAAACCAAATACCCATTACACAGCAGCTACTACTCTGCCAAACACCTTTAAATTGATACACTGCCAGTTCTTAGAAACACACAAGCATCATTTCAGGCCTGCTGAGCCAGTACATCTTATAGTCAGGAAGGTAAGAACAGTAACATCGCAACTTGACCTTTAAGAGGATTTGATGTTAACCTAAAATGCCCTCTGCTGCTGGGGCTGCGGAAACTTCACCTCTCAGTCTCTTATTGCCTCTAATGCCTATGCCCAGAAGCTGGGTCATGCTGTCCTAGCAAAGAAATTCACATATTAGGCTCTGGTTCCCAGAGTACAGAATTAATTCTAGTTGATGTTTGTCTTTTTTTTTCTCCCATAACACACAAAGCTTCACTGCAATTGTAGGCTGCAGACAGGCTTTCATCACCACTGGGAAAAGAGCTTCCCATCACGAGCCCCAGATCTACAGACAGCATCACGTGAGTACTGGGAAAGAGGAGCCTGCAGTGCAGGCAGCCAGGGGACATACCTCCTCGTAGTTCTTTGCTTCAACACCATGCTTCATATCCAGAGTCACGAGCTGGTCCGGCATCCTCCCTGTTCCTGGAAGCATAATGAAAGGATTCCTTGTGCAAAACATTCAGCCTGCCAGGAAATCACCAGCTCTTCCCACCACTGAGGAAGAACTCACAACTCCCTCCCCTCCCTCCATGTCTGCAGCTATCTGCGGAGGCAGCACAGTCCAGCCTAAAAATACAGAGACTTCACAATAAATCCTGGCTGAAGGAGAGCCTCTTAGAGATAATGAGAACAAGCTGTAACTAAAAACACTGAGAGTGTATAGGATGCAAATCACTGTAAAAACTGCAGAGGATTAGAACACGAACACCAGCTGCTATGACACAGCCTAGCGAAAGACAAGTCATCGGAGGGACTCACATTCCTCCTAACAGGAAGTGAACCAGCAACTTGTCAAGGTTACTGGGGTTGTAAATGACTTTACATTAAAAGGAGCAGAAGATAAACTGCTCCAACTGAGGAATATGACATATGGGGACTACTGACCCTCACATGCTGGAGTATCTGCAGAAACCAAGGAAATCCCCTTACCAGTGATCTCAGATACCTGAGAACCACGCTGCTATGCAAACCCCATGACATCAAGAAGCTTCTGAAGCTGGGAAAGCACTGCCTCAGAGAACTGCCAGCTGGAGCTGCTCAAACACCACATAAGGCTGCAGTCAACAGCACAGTAGGTATCTTTCAAGGCTGTAGCCCCCAGGCTAGGGACACCTATGGCTTACAGCTTCTTTTAACTGCTACAAAGTGTCACATCTGAGAACGTTCACACGAGGACAATATATATATAGGATAGGCATATCAGATACTCTAAAAAATGCAGCATGTCAGCTGATCTGAGTGTCACACTCCACTATACCACCCACCAAGAAAATGTCTGTACCTAAAACATTCCCAAAGCCCAGAATGCTGGAGCATATAGCTGTTCTCAGCTGGCTTCCAGCAAAATACAATGTCTGAATTTAAACTGTGAATTTCAGAGTGTCTACCCAGGAGCATGTTCAACACTCATATTTTGTCTCAAAAGGCTGCCGGGTGGACATACCCTCAGTTCACAAAAAAATTCAACTTACAGGTTATGCTGGGTCACTCCTATTGGATACTGGAAGATACTCCATATCTTTGATACAACATCCCCAAATTTTTTCTCTACCGACTCACTGAACAGCTCTTCAACACCACAGTAGAATCACCTCCACCTTCTACTACCAGCAGAACAATGAATAACCTACTGATAAGATGGTGCATATCAATTGTTTCTTGAATTTCCTGACGGAAATACACTATATAAGAGCCTAAAGGATAAATTAGGATTAGGATTAATTTTTTTTGTTTTCTTATAAAAGACCAGTTACTGTAAAAAAACCCCAAACAAACCCAAACCAAACTAAAATCACAGCACTGGTCTTTAATAGACAGGCTGTATACAACCACCTGGTGCTCCTTTCTCCAACCATGAGTTTTGACTGCTTATGGCATACATGTACCAGCATGTGTTGAGACTGGCAGCCAACAGTAGTTGCAGAGGAAAATTCAAAGCACACAGTTCAGGGAGAGGTTTTTTTAGTGTTGCTTAAATTACAGCAACTTGGGTGGAGAGCTGGAGCTTGCAGGAAGAGATGAGAAAGATGAAAAAAGTCAGTGAAAAGAAGAACAGAACTGCAAGAATTAATTTGTTAGGCTGAAAGGGAGAGCTGCCAAGAGGTAGTAAGAAATCAGAAACATTAAAGTCCTGGGTGCAAAGGGATGGAGAGCAGACATTCTGCAAGAGGTTAGCATTGTCAGGAACTGGCCTGGAAAAACTCAAGCTGCTCTTCCTACAAGTTTACTGAGCCCAAGTCACTAGGCAGCTCCCTTTGCACTCATCATACCTCAGTAACCACCTGCTTCTCCTGCAGCCAGGGCTCACCAGAGCAGGCTGGATCAGCAGCAAAGAGAAAAACAGTCAAGACTCAGAGATCTTGAACTAAACTGATACCTACATTCTCCAGGTCTTCATAAGGTCATCTCACATGAGTACAGAACTGTTCCCCAGGAGATTAGACGAGCTCTAATTTGCAAAGTCAGTGGAAAAGCAGGGTAGTTGAACAGAATGTCAAAAAATTTTCCCACAGGAATTCCAGAAAAAAGGAGTCCTGACACTCTTAAGAAAGTTTGGGAAGAGAAGGACTACCGAAGGAGCAAAGAGTTACAGATCAGCCCAGAGGAAGAGCCCTAGAGGGGAGAATGCAGCGAGGCCAGGCTGTTCATTTTAGAGATTAGCATTGGGTGGGAGAGTAAATGTGCCTGGGAACAGAGCACTGGTCGGGAAGGTAGGACCATTTACCCTGGAAGAGGGTAAAAAGCCTCTCTTGCAAACACCCACAGCTCCAAGAAGCACCCTAAGAGCTCCTCCACTCTGATAAGGTGGACCTTCTTCTTACTTCCTCTTCCTCATTTCTGTGGTTAGGGATTGAGAAATCCCAGTTGCTTAGACCCTTCAGGTCCCAACGGCTCTGGGTGTCTTCTACCAACAGTTTTTCTCTTCCGGTACTCCACCAACATCCTCCTTGGCTGCCGCCTTACAAGTCCTGACCACTTACTTTATAAGACTGTGAAAAAAAACCTAAACTTTAAAGAGAAACATGGGGATTAAACAACATTTGGTCAGTTTCCCCACTCCCATGCTGATCTTATAGAGGAAACAAGGCACTTCCTTGTGACCTGGTTACTTCTTTCAAAGTGCCTTAACCAAGTCCTGCAGATGATCAAGCCTCACAGTGCCACCTCCCTTACTTCATTATTTCCTTGATTTCCAGCAGACATGGGAAATCTGGAGATACTCCCCATGCAGTATCTCTCTTTGGCAAGGAATGTGGGGCACCTAGGTCCAAAAAAAACTGGTAGCTTGAAGGCCCCTAAAGAGAAAGCCTCCAGCTGGTCAATTGAAGAGCTCTAGACTTTGGCACCTCAGTGCCCTACAGATCATCAGGGTAGAAGCTGCATTTAGAAATACTTTATCCTCATCAGTACTGAAAACTTTAAAACAAATTTGCAACTAGGGAGCCAGAGAATAAACATTTGCTACAATCAAAGGAGTTGTAAGGGGCTCAGTCTAGGCAAGAAACTGCTGCTCACAAGCACCAAACTAAGAGTCTAGACACAACTAAAGAAAGAAGCCTTTCCCACCTCAGTGTGTGATCACATGCAAGCTATGAAAGGATCTGCAGGACTGTCTGGAGACTTCTCAAATACCCAGGTGTTGGAAAGTAAACAGCATGAGTGACTCCCAGATGAGTCACTAGTGCCTGCATGTCTCAATGCGTTAAGGAACATTTGGAAATCCTACCTTTGGAGTAAAATAAAAGAATAATCCTGAACATTGGGGGTCACTATCTTATCTGTAAAATACTATAGAAGAGGTGTTACAAGCCAGATCCCTCCCAGTCCCAGTAAAGAATATAACCTTCTCTTTCTGGAAAGTTCTCTGCAACTTGCAAACTATTTGCATCTTATACGTGGAGCAGAACAGCAAAACAGTGTCTGCCTTTCAACAGATACAAGGCATGCTGCTAGTGACTGCTCTGTGAAATGCTCTGGGATCTTTTAGGATAAGACCTAAGAATGACTGGGTCCAGGGAGCAGAACTCTGACAACGAAAAGATGTAGCACCTACAAACTTGCACATGCTCACACCACTGCAGATGAGATGAGAGCCCACGTGTTGGCCAATTTCAGCACGTTTGTCCTGAAGTTGAGTGCAGCCACTCAAAGCAACACATGCGTCACACTCATAGGAAAGAAGCCTGAGCACTCGTTAGGCAACCATCCTTGCAGCACAAATGCAAGGCTGACGTCCTTGCTCATTTCCCCTTCCCGTTACTGACCACTTGTGGGTGCAAATGAAGGCCACATTCCTTATACACGCATAGCTAAACCCCAGAAAATGGTTATCAACCTATTGCAGGATAGCTGCCAAGTACACACTTGTGGAGAGATCAAGTTCTACCAAATGGGAAGAGTTGGCCAGCAGGGGTGAAAGACAGGTCCTGGAGATGATGGCATCTTGCTCTGTCCTGACTCAACTGCAAGATGGGGAGAAGCATGAAACTGGCAAAAGAAGTGTGGTTTGCTCCCTGGTACTGCCACTTATTGAAACTGTGGTGACTGCTGTGGGAGGAACATCTGATTCCCCTTTCAGAGGAAACCCAAGCACTCTACATGACAGCCACGGAGAATTATTAAACTTCAAATGCAACACTGACAGCAGATACTCTGGAGTGAGACTGCCCACAACACCCTGAGGATCAGCTTTAAAAGTCAAACAGTGTTCTGTGGACCATGCTAAGGATCATTTTTACCTGCATCCCTAATCCACATTATCATGATCAGAAGCTAGAAGCAGCCAACAGATCTTTCACTTACCCACAGGAAGCTTGCTCTCAAAGCAGGCCTCAAACATATCATAGTCTTCAGTGGTGAAGGCAAACTTGCCCTTAGTGGCATCCTCCTTGGCATACAGGATGTGCCCAGCTGAGTCAGTTATCTGTAAGAGAGACAATGAGGGTAAGACAATGATGGTAAGAAATATTATCTGTAAGAGAGAAAATGATGGTAACAGTACTTTGCTGCCACGGGTTGATGCTGCCTGTGCAGGAAAAGTAATCCTAGTAATTCCTTTGGATATGATGCTTTCTCCTTTCAACAGTTTCCCTCCTTCTTCACAACTACATCAGTTCCTCCACTTGTAATCCCCACTCCAGGAGCTGACAGCCAGAGTGACTCTAAAGTAATTATTGACTCTTTAGATTCAAAAAAAACAAACCCAAAAAACACTCAAAGAAAAAACCCCTACCACCAAAAAGCAATCAACCAACCAAGCAACCAAAAAAAAAAAACCCAAACTGAAAACCACACTAATTCCTCTTCCTCCTGTAAACCCCAAATACAGAGTACATGTAGGAACTCTAGCTGAACCAAATGGTTATTCACTGCCTTCATTTTGCAAGCAAAATCCATGAATTCCTATAGCAACAGAGATATGGAGAAGCCTTATGGGACAAAGACGACTCATTCCCCAGAAGATGAAATGGAGAAGGGCACATCTATTCCTCTTGAAATGAATCATGAATGTGGCTCTGAGGTAGACAAGGTTTGGGTGCCAAGATCCATAAAAGTGGCCACTTCAGAGGACTATTCAGACTACGCAGACAGAATAATGACTGCTTTGCACTAAGTCTATAAAACTACTAAGAATAGGCAAAAACTGTGGAAGGTCTATAAAAATGCTTCAACAAAGAGTATAAAAAAAGAACATGCATTTCATGACACAAACTTGAGAATAACTGTGCTCAATTAATGAGGCTCCATCCAGTTGAAACACTCTGACCTTGAAGAGGGGTGGAAAAACCCGGAGGTATTACAGCACTGCATGAAAATCAACAGTGTGATTCCACTGGAATGCCTCCCAGTTTCCCTCAACTCTATCCATCAACAGGTATGTCTGAAAAGGCACAAATGCTACAGTTACTAGGGGTCTTTAAAAGTCTTAGAGATGAAGAGACTAAAAATCTTGGGAATAATTTTAAAGGTATGTAAGATAAAAGTACACAAAATAATTTGTGCTATGGAAAAGGTAGGTCAGACATTCTACTTTACTCCATCTTACGAGGGAAAAACAGCCTGGCTTCCCTGTACAAAGACCTTTCAAAAGGGTTACATACCCAGAGTTATTCTAAGGAAACACCCATTATTCTTATTAGAACACCTAATTAACTCTCTGCCATGGGATACCACTGATGCTGGCAGCCTGCTGGACTTAAAACAAACGTGGACCTTCTCATGCATAATGAGAGTTGCTGCATGAGGCAGGAAAAACAAGAAAGTATATAAATCCTCAGGCCTGACGGTATAAACCATAGCAGGCAAGACTTTAGGAACAAGCTTCCTCTACATACAGATTATCCCACAATTGTCTGTTAAGGGCTTTGTTGTAGCTGCCCCTGCACCATATGTTGTCGGCATCTGAGAACAAGGAGCAGTCTTCTCCCATCCTGCAGTTCCTGCTCAGAGCTCTACCTGTTTTCAAGCAGCAAGCAGATGAAAGCACACCTGCGTAGTCAGGCACAGCCAGCTGTGCTTCCACCCCCCTGCCACACACCACCAGAAAACAGCCACCTCCTATCTGAACGCCACCAGACTACTGGGAGGCACTGGGCCTAAGTGAGCAGGCTGGAGTACAGGACTGTCCATGTCTGACCACGCAGACACAGTGTAACAGCCTGTGGTTTGGCCACCATATGGCACACGCTATTTAGTGGAGTGGTCCCAATTAACCAACATGTCTCATCGGCATGACACCATACACTCTACACACTGGGTTCTCCATCCCAAGAAGTTCTCAGAACAACTTAGCTCTCAGAGGTCCCTATTATTTTGAGCACTGTTCCCTCAGGGCTTTGTAGACACCAGAGCTAATCTTTATCCAGAGAATATTATGCAGCTTAATCCATTTTTGCCCTTTGGAGCTCATGAACAGGATTCTGGACAGTAAAAGCTCTGCTATCCCCTTTCATCAGAACTGAATAGCACTATCCAAATCAGCCAAATACACTGCCCATTGAGCCGGGCCTGCGGGGGCGGGAGAAGCTGCTAATAGCCCAGTCAGACGGCCTGTGGGGGAGTCGACCTGAAAGGGAGTTTTCATGCTATTCTAAAGTTACTTACGGTAATGCGATCCCCTACAGACAGGGCATTGTTCGCTCTTGACAAACAGAGACAGTTCCCCAAAGTGCCAGCCTGGACAATGGGGCAGAGGCACGTGGCAGGGCCCTCAGCAGCCAGCTGGCAGAGCCTGCAGATTCCTCCAAAACAGAGGGTGCCACTGTTAGTGCTGGGGTATCACACACACATAAATTCAGCCCACTGGCAGAAACCCACCTGAGCCTGGACAGAATTAACTACCAAACTCCTCTGTTCGATGGCCCAACCCAGGAGGCCAAGGCAGGACCATCCAGTGCAGAAGGAGAGAGAGAGAGACTACCTGCAGACATGATGACCTGAACTAACCTTTCCCACACAAACCAAAGAGAAAGCAGGCACCTAGCAGAGGGGTTTCAGCACTTATAACAGATCCAGCATACTGGAAGGCCACAGCATACCTGAAGGAAAGCAAAAATTACATGAACTATTATTTCTTCTTTGTAGCTTTTCAAACTAATATAGGACTTTTAAATTTTATTTTATTTTACAGTTAGAACAAAATAGAACTTCCATGAGCAGTACTACATGGATACCAGCTTCATCAGCAAAGCCAGACTAAGATCAAACGTTGGATTCATTGCTTCACCACCACCTCCCTAGACAAGTCCTCTGTCATAAAAGTGAGTTTTGGAAGAGACTTTGGGGTCAGCTGACCTAAGAGTGGGCAACTTGAGAATCAGGAAGCCTGGTCACCAAGTGGTAAGAGACAGATGGGAACATAGCACTTCAACTGAAATACATGTGCCTTATGAGGCAAATACTCCATCAGCATTTTAAAGCATTAATGCTGCTTGGCTCTGCCTATGCACAGGTAAATTTTCTCTTACAAATGATGCAAGAACAGCAGAACAATTTTTAAAAAGCAAGACTCCAGAAACAGCCTTCTCTAGCCATAACCAAGCACAACTGCCAATAACCCAAAGCCTTCAGGCATCAGTAGGCAGATGCTGGAAGGGCAACTTGATTTCAGGAGATCTAAAATACTCATTACCACTGAGTTCAAAGTGTCCTGAGAAGACCGTCCTGTTTGTTTGTTTGCATGTTTACTTTTGAAAACTTTGGGAATGTAGACAGAAATAAAAAAGGGACAGAAAGCTATCATGAACTGACTGCATAGCAACAAACCTTACTCAGCTAGGTGAGAATTTTGAAGAAAGCTTAGGAAAGGCAGATTGTGGGCAGAATTAAAGTGAAGCTGTTTAAGTTTTGCTAACTGCTTGTCACACAGGTGTATTAGTCCCGTATATTCTGCTGATTCTGTACTCCCTAAAGATCCTTCAGGATCATTTTCTTCTGTGCACCAAACGCCTGTCTCCTTAAAATCCAGGCGAGCCTTGACATAGCCAGATGGGAATAGCCATTTTGTGCACCGAAACGTGGTTCCTCAGACCCCATCCCATTGTGCCAGGATCCCGTTGTGCCAGGCCCTCCCTACGTGGGGAGGGAGCCCTTGGAAGGCCACGTCACCATAATTCTCTCCCACTTACACGGTGCCAGCAGCCTTAGTATGGCTTTATCGCAGCGGCCCGTCTCGCCAGACGCCGGATAATCCGCATCGCGTGCGGATTACACGGCAGCTGCCTGGATGGGACGGGACGAGACGACGAGATCTTTGGGGAGAAAAAGCTCGTACTGGGCTTAGGCCAAAGTGCTGCCCTGGTCCCTCGCTGCCCCAAACTCGAAGCTCCTGGGCGGGCTGGTGTCCCCTCGCACGGGGCGAGTCCCGCCGTGCGGCCCGGGCCGTGAGCCCACGCGTGGCCGGCGTCACGCGTGGAGAACGTCACCCCTTCCTTCCCCGCCCCGGGAGGGGAGGCGGGGCCGCGCCGTCCGCCCCGGCCACCCCCGCCCCCCCGGCCGGCCGGGGCCGCACCTTGAGGTTGGCGGAGGGTCCGGTGGAGGAGCCCGGCGGGGCGCCGATCTCGTACTCGCCCGTGACCAGCGTGTCGCGGTGGATCTCCTCCCGCAGGCACTTCCGCGCCTTGCCCGGCAGCTGGAAGGAGATGGGCCGCGCCGGACCCGCGAGCAGGAGCAGCAGGAGTAGCGGCAGGAGCGAGGCCCGCCCGAGGCGGGGGCGGCCGGGCAGGGGCAGCATCGGCATCGGCGGCATCGGCATGGCGGCCGCTCCGGGTGCGGCGGGCCGGGCCTCCCTCCGCTGCACGTGACCGCCGCCGCCGCTGCGTCACCGCGGGGCGGGGCCGGGGCTGAGGGGCTGGGAACGGAGGCTGCGGGGTTGGAACCGGGGGTATGGGACGGGAACGGGGGGTGCGGGACTGGAACC